GATGTTACTGTCGCCATGATTGTTGATATGTTGACTCCTAATAATACTAACGATGTAATGTCTCAGTATGATGATAATTAGAGTTATGGTTTTTGTTATCCTTCAGTGGAATACCAGAAGCCTTATTGCTAACAGTCAGGAGTTTAAGAAATATGTAATTGATTTAGAGATCAAACCTGATGTGATATGTGTTCAAGAAACATGGCTTAGACCACATCTTGATTGTATTATTCCTGGTTATTGTTCAATGAGATCTGATAGATCAATTGGACAGAGTGGTGGTTGTGCTATGTTCATAAGAGAAGGTCTTGTATATCGTAATATAACTGTCCCATCTGAATATGAATGTGTGATGGTGGAAATCTACAGTGCAATATTAAGTTAAAGAAAATTACAACCCTTGTTGTCAACTATGTGTAGCGATGTTTGATGAAATATCAGGAGAATTGGGCTCTAGAGAGTTTATGTACATAATAGTTTATGGGGAAGCACACATACAGATGCTAATGGTACTATTGTGGAAGATATGATGGAAACGAGCATTGGTATGTCTTAACGATAAGTGTGGTACAAGAGTTGATGTTGTTAGAGGGGTTACATCCTGTCTGGACCTCACAATGGCTTCTAACTCTATTGCATCTCTGTGTGAATGGAATGTAATAAATGATTCTACTGATGGAAGTGATGATTTCCTGATTTTGTGTACCATGAACTTTGATGTTACTATTCCAGATATGGTACCATTCAGAAGATGGTGCTTTCATAAAGCAGACTGGGAAAAGTTTGATGATCATTGCTTAAAGTCTGTTGGACAGTTGTCTTTAGAGAGGCCGGTTGATGTATGTGCTGCCTCTGTGACCTATCTGATTTTGAGTGCTGCGAATGTATATGTACCAATGAGTGAAGTTGGTTCCTTGGTGGACTGAAGAGTGTACTGCGGCTATTCGAGAAAGAAATAGGGCTTACAGAGTGTTGCGTAGGAATATGACTCCTAAAAATCTAGTTGATTTCCAAAGGAAGAGAGCTTTAGTACGTAGGGTCATTAAGTCTGTCAAGAGAAATGCATGGAGACAGTTCTGCTCTACAATAGGCAGGGGTACTGAGCTGGGGGATGTATGGTCATGTTGAAGAAGATGACTGGAAGAAGCAAGTCCACTCGAATTCCAGTTTTGGTTGTGGGTCAAAAAATGGCCGTAACTGATAAAGAAAAAGCTGACTTGTTGGGGAAGACATTTGCAGGGTACATAGTGGGGTTACTTTGGATGAAGTATATAAGCAACGCAGGTGTGAGATTTTAAATGCTCATGTTAATGTGTATAAGAAAAGGGATACTGTTGAATCTTTTTTTGGATGCTGTTTTTACCATGCATGAGATGTGTTCAGCCTTAATAGGCTTTGGATATACAACCCCAGGTCATGATCAGTTGTGCTATGTAATGTTTAAGCATCTACCTGATGAGGTCATTCATGTTCTCCTGGGATTATTTAATAAGATTTGGAGTGAGGGGGTTGTACCTTCTGATTGGAAACGTGCAGTAATATTACCTTTTGTAAAGCCTGGTAAGGACCCTTCATGTGCTGATAGTTATAGACAAATAGCACTGACCTCTAACTTGTGTAATTTAATGGAAAATATGATATTCAACAGATTGTCATATTTCCTGGAACATAAAGGTTTATTGAGTCAATGTCAAAGTGGATTCCGTAAAGGTAGATCTACTTTGAATGCATTAGTAAAGGTGAGCAATGAAGTTGAAAAAACTCTGAAAGAAGTAATGGCTACTGTCTTTTTTGACATTGAAAATTCTTATGACACTATGTGGAGAGAAGGCCTACTGATTAAGATGGAAATACTTGGTATTGGTGGGAGATTATATAACTGGGTTCTGGCCTTCTTATTTAATCGCTCGTTTCGAGTTAAAATAGGATCCATTTTATCTGATGCCTATGGAGTAGACAATGGTACTCCTCAAGGCAGTGCTATCAGTCCTATTTTGTTCAACATTATGATTAACGATGTGTTTTCAAATGTAGGTAGGGGTATTGGGGGTTCCCTATATGCTGATGATGGAGCTATTTGGAAGAGGGGAAGGAATGTCTCTCATGTGATCAAATCTATTCAACAAGCTATTGTGGATGTTGAAAGATGGTCGATTGACTGGGGTTTTAAATTGTCAGTGACGAAGTCTTGTTGTATGTTCTTCTTGAAGAAGAAAGTTGCTGATAATATACAGTTGTTTCTGTATGGACAGGCTATTAGGAGGGTTTTAATGAGCGATATACTGTATATGGTATTTTGAAACAAAGTGTAAGAAGGTGGTGAATTTTATGCGCTCTGTCTCTGGTTATGAATGGGGTGCTGATAGACAATCGTTGATGGATATTTATAGAGCTCTGATCAGGACGACAATTGATTACGGGTGTATAGTTTATGGAACACTGAAGTGTATGGTCATTGAGGTTGGATGGGGTTGGTGGGGTTTGGAAGGGATTTTGGGGATGGGGGAGGGTCTATTAGAAGTTAGTAGGGCTCTTTTTTATTTTCTCATAAGTAGTGAGTTAGGTAGGAGGATTTAGAAATGTTGTAAACTGTGATTGACCACACACTCCAGCACAGTAGGTGGCGGCATGTACCTTTAACGTTCGTTTGCGGATCGCCATTATATCATAGAAGAAGAAGACGATTTAAACAAGGAAGTGAGTTCGGAAAATCTGAAAGTACACATCTTAGAAATAGTTTTCGCATATGCCCGAACTCAGAATCCTTTCAGCTTCCCAAAAATAATATGGTCAAGTCCCATCTAATAAAGCTGTAGCGGGCTCGCTCCCTCTCCTGCCTCGATTTTAACCACACCCCTTTCAAGTTCCACTTTGTTGCACAGTGTCACCAGGCTCTATGCACCAGCAATTCGAGCCTGAGGACGAGGTTAGTGACAACCCAACAACTTGACTGTCCTTGGCTTGTCTGTTCTGTCTCTTCATTCTGTAAGGACATTGTGCATAGAAAGTACACACTTCAGCCTCACCGTACAAACCTCCCTGAGCTCTACCTCACTAAGAACCCACCTAATGTACCATAAAGTGCTAGAAGAAATGGTGCTATAACCAAAAAGGTTTCAATGGCTCGGTTCACCCTCAAAAAGGTCATATAGAATCGCAAAGTACTCTTATTTTTAGCAGTGCACACCTAAGCAGAAGAGACCATTCGTTAGCCTTACAGAGTCACCTCCAGTCCACTTCAATAGTAAATAAACCCAATCCTAACAGTAGAGATGTACTGTAATACCTTTCGTTGTACTGTACTGATTTTAATTGATGCGACTCCTTATTTTCTGCTCCACTGAATAGGCTCAAATAAGAGCAAAACTCTAAAGTCATTTGTAGGACAGAGAGATACACTAATTTCCTGAACACATGAATGACAATGGAGGGGGAAAGGAATGGATTGGACAGCCTTGGATGCATCTCAAATGGCACCCTATTCCTATAGGGCTCTGGTCAAAAGTACTGCACCATATAGGGAATAGGGTCCCATTTGGGACACAGACCTTATGTGGCCCGACCTACACTGCACTGCATAACCCTTCTCTTGGCACCATCTAACCAAATAACATTAGTAAATTATAGATAGACTTTGTCGCTATGCCTTTAAATGTAGAAACGTTAAGACATTTCAAAATGGCTGAAACATATACCGGGGGTAATATTCCTGATTTATCGATTACAAAGACTATTTTTTCACCTGTTCAGATTTAGTGGCGTTACGCTTGCAGTTTTTATTACACAGAGAAATTGAGTTACATGAGTAGCTGGACTGGAGAAGAGGTTAGGTTGGATGGAAGGTCAGTGAGTGCAGCCTCAGATTGGTGTGTCAGTCGGTGCTAAGGTTGGTTGATTAAGTTCTTATTTTAGCTGTTAGTTCAGTTGTTATGATGTGATATCTGGACTACCACCGTTGTCATTATAGAATCTTCTGAATGGCCCGGCCAAAGGTCACCGCCAAAGAGGCACTCAGTTTTGATTAAAATAGTGCTAACTCAGCATTTCGTGTTGACCTCTAAGTAAGGTTCAGAGTTCAGCGTTCAGGGTTCAGGGGTCATCCATCCCTAACTCCCCCTCACACTGATATAATGTATTATGTCATAGAGGTTGCGACCTTTCTCCCACACAGCTCACTCTCATCCTCTCTGTTTAGAACACATCCCTTTGCTTCTCCATCCATCTATCCTCAAACCTCTCTCTCGCTCTCCATCTGTCTCTCCATCCATCTCTCCTGAAACCTCTACCTCTATCTCTCCATCGCTCCCATCTCTCGTCCTCTCTGTTACGAACCCATCCCTCTACTCTCATCTCTGCATCTCTCTCCTCAAAACCTTTCAACCCATCCTCTCCCTCTCCTTTTCTTTCCATCTTTCCATCCTACCAACCAACCCCACTGCACAGCTTATCTTGACCTTCTTTCTTTCTATCACGCTGTCTTCCCATCGCTCCTCCCTTTCCTCTCTATCACTCCTCGCAATCGCTCTACGCTCTGTCTTTCCACTTATACCTCTTTGCCTTCCGTCTCACTCTTCATCTCCCTTCCATCTCCCCACCTCTCCCTCCCTCCCTTTCATCCCATCTCTTTCATCCTTCTCTCTATCTGTCCCTCCACGACTCATTCTCCTGTTTCTTTATCTCCTCTATCTGTGTTTCAAGCAGTGAGACAGTCTATATTATGTATAGGAAGGATAATTCAATAAGCGTTAACTGGGGATGACACAAAGTTAATCCGCTTAATGAACACAATGCACTCTTTCTCTCTCGCTCTCTACCTCACTATCTATCTCTTTGCCTTTTCTCTCTTTCCATTCTCTCTCTCTCTCTCTCTCTCTCTCTCTCTCTCTCTCTCTCTCTCTCTCTCTCTCTCGTCTCTCTCTCTCTCTCTCTCTCTCTCTCTCTTCTCTCACTCAATTATCTCACTCTCTTTCTCTCCCCCCTTTCCCCACCTCTCTCTCTCTTTCATTCTTTATTTTCTGTAGGCTGTTGATGGAGAGGATTTCGAATGACAGCCGGGACAGTGGTCATCACAGGCGGTATTTTAGCTACAGTTATCTTACTGTGCATCATCGCAGTACTGTGTTACTGTAGGCTGCAGGTAAGCCCGTCCTATGACCCTCTGTTCCTCTCTTCATTGTGGTCAGACCCTGTACTGTCACTGAACTGTCACTGTCACAGTAAACATCAAGCCCATCTATACCTCTGACTGAGACCTCTGACTGGGTGCTTAATAATCTGTGGCTTGTATCTTGAAAAAACAAAAAGGCATGGCACACCATGTAATTAAATCTAAATTGAAAAGCCTTTATTTAGTTTCCTTACTGACGCACTTCAGCAAACATGTCTTCATCAAGGTGTGCCCCTCTGGACTGTTCCTCTCTTCATTGAGGTCAGGCTATGTGGTACAGGGAGATCCATGTCACAATCACCACACACTTCGTAAGCAGTTAGACATCACAACATCACACACCCTGTGTGTATTCAAGCTGCACATACTGACTTGGATATGTTCCCCCTCGCACAGCTTGCTGATAAGTGTTTCTCAGAGCATTCAGAACTCTCTCACGAGACTAGATGTTTTGGTCCAGTTGGGTTCTTTGGTTCTGGAATATCTGATGTTTTGCGATCATCAAATCTTCAGTGTGTAGATAGAACTGGGTAGGGGAGAGTGGGGTAACTTGAGACTAGTTGTACACTGTAGTATACAAAGGCTGTGTGTAGGGGAGAGTGGGGTAAGTTGGACCGCTTTTTACATTATAAGGTAGAAAGACTTAGTGTGTTTAACTGGGTAGTGGAGAATGTTTGGAACCTTATTTAAATGATAGTGTAAAACCTGGTAGGGGAGAGTGGGGTGAGTTGAGACCTTTCTTCCATTACACTGTATTACCATAAGACTGTAAGTGGGTCAGAAAGAGATGACATTCAATTAATTAACCATCCATTCTTATTCGATTCAGCTAAAAGATAGACATTCAGCTCCTTTTCTCAGAGTCACGTTAGAGTAATTGTATAAATATCTGGTTAATCTCCCATCTCTCTCTCATGCATGCTCACTCTCTTTTCCAGACTTCCTCTCAGTGTAATGTTGTGTAATAGCTTGATGTAATGTTTGGTAACAGGTTACCAAACTTCAATGTGTGCCACATGAGACAGTTTTAATTAAAGACAGCATAGATTTAGAACAGGCCTGCCATGTCGTTCAAGTAATGGAGCTGTGCATTTTAATGGACTGATAATTGCTCTTTGTGTCATCTTCTGAATGTTTTGTTGTCAGCTGTACATTAAATACCAATGATTGTTTCTCTTCATGTTGGTAATGGACTTTCCAAAATAGACTTTTAAGTCTTAACAAAGTATTTGACACTCTTGTTTGACCCAGGTCGGTCACAGATCAAATGGACCTAAAACATTTTTTATTCTGAGTGACAGACATGCTGTGATTATTAATGATGTCCTTGTCCCCCCAGTCTCTCCTCTTTCCCTCTCTCCGACAGTATTATTGCTGTACGAAGGAGAACATTTCTTATTCTCAAGGATATGCAGTGATTATTAAACCTCTTCTTGTTTCTTGTCTCCCTGACAGTATTATTGCTGTAAGAAAGAGGAGTCAGAGTCGGAGGAGGAGGAGGAGCCCGACTTTGCGGTGACGTCCCGCCTCCCGCCTGTCCACTCCAATCATAACATCGTGGCGGCGTCGGCCGCCGCCTCCAACCCCAACGGCCCCACCCTCTTCACGCCGCCATTGGCGCGTAAACTGACGCGCTCGCAGACGTTCTGCCCGTCGTGCACGCACCATGAGCTGCCCTTTCTACCTGCAGCACCCGGATGGACTGCGGAACGGCGGCGACCGCATCAGCTACCGCAGTGTCCAGCAACACGACCTGGACCTGCCCTTAGAAATGCCCAGCTACCACAAACTCAACCTGACCCGGTCGGTCACCATGAAGGACATGTTCAACCGCAGCTGCAGCATCAGCACTGACGTCTAGTGGCATTAGCGCCACCCGGTGGCATGGAGGACTCATGGAAACAGATGGATAATACAATGGGGACGGATAGTGGGACTGTGACTCGACAACTAATACTCCCATGTACCTCAGTTTTACACTCAGATATAACCACACATTAACTAGTGAAAAGATACATCTGCCAGTTTGGATGTTGACCCTGAAATAGCATAGAGTTTCTGGACTCATACTGTTGGATTACCCTAAACCTAAACCACACTCTGGTTTAAATCCAACAAATCAACTGTACCTTTGAATAACAAATAACAGACTTTGCAAAGATGCTGCTAAAGAAACCAAGAAACCATGGCGATAAGGATAAGGAGGAGGGTAATGGAGGCTCCTCCCACTACTGCATCTCTCCACCAATCCCCAGCCTGATCACCAGAAAGGGGGCGGAGCAGATCATATCACAAGTTATGGATTATCCATCCATCGCATCATGGTTCGGAAATGGAGTAGTGACGGAAGAGAGGGGGAACAACATGTTATAGGCCATAAAAACAGGAGATAAAGGGCTTGTGGGTGGTGGAGTCCTCTGCTCTGTTTTCTACATGCAGTTTATTTTTGAGAGAGAGAGAGAGAGAGACAGATGTATTAAAATAATCCTAGCCAGCGTACACAAAACATTATCCTACTTTTTCAGACTCTAATTGGGTTGCAATAACATTAAAAGGACATTAAAGGAGGGCGTTTAAGTTATGTTATTTATTAATGTAACAATTTACCAAACAAAATGTGTCCAGGTTGGCGTAACCCGTTGGGATAAACAAGCTAAGAGGGTTTTGAAAATAGTTTTCCCTTTTTTAAGTTTTGCTTCAGTTATTATCATTACTGAATATTGTGAAACAGCATCTATACTATTTATGTCTGATGAGTGCTGAGAAACCATACAGACGAGAACAAAAAATATATTTTATACACTTTAGCTTTACTATGTAATTTATGGTTATCTTGTTCACTGGAGTTTCAAATCGTGGTCTTTTCACCAGATTCCTTGTGTTGTCTAAAATCGGAGATCCATGGGCTAATAAATCTAAACAACATTTTGTGGCTTATCTTCATTCGATTGGATTGGACTTGGCTTAGCTCCCTCTGCACTCGCCTTGCTGGACTAGGAGGATGAACTCTACACTCGATTTAGAGGCCTGGGAGAGTATGATCGTTCTCTCTGAGCTCTGCAAGCAGGACTGGAGGAGAGGAGGCGCTGTGCTGTGTGTGCAGTATAGTCAGGATGGGGATGGAGAGACTGCGGTTGTGTTTTTATGCCCACAGGCCACTCTTTCAATTAGATTATTTAGTGCAGAGATTAAATCGGAGTGAATGTGGGGTGGGGGCTGGAATCTGATTGGCTCCCTCATGTTATTGTCCTCTTGCTCCATCTGTATATTCATTGGATGCTTTGCCTCTTTTTTCTTCTTTGTTTTACCACCACCAGTTTACTAGCGAACACGGTTGTTGTTTTGTTTGTTTATCCCAGCAAATTAAACAATTTGTCCAAACAGTATGGGCCTTTTTATGTAGTTGATCGATTCTTGCATAATGTGCATTCATGCAAACAAACACACATACACACAGGCACACATACATACATAAATGTATGCATACATATTATTTTTCAACATTTTCTCTTCCTTTTAAAAACTGAGCCGCAATGTAGTGTCATAAGGAATGGTATGAGCGACAGACATTAAATATTGGATCCGCAGTAGGGAGAAACAGCGCCACTGGCCACCCCACCACCGTTGTTATTGTTTTTGTTGCGGAGTTGAGGAGCTTCGCGCTACATATTGTGCACTTCTATCGCACGTGCAATGATGTCTGAGGGGAAAAAAACAGTGTTTGTTGTTTACAGTAACTTCTTTGTTGTTGTAATATCGCAAAAGGACGTGGTTGTTTCACCATTAAGGATTCCAGCGTTAAGTACATTATTATTATTATTATTATTACAGTATTGGTGTTCTTTGCTGAACTACAGTATTGCTTTATCTCAGTATTTGCATTTTATGATAAACTTTCGTTGTTTCCAGCTCTCTAAGGTAAAACATGTTTCTGTCATTGTTTCAACTGTATGACTAAAGAACACATGGTTACTAATAAAAGTTTGTGAAATTCTCTAGTATTTATGTACTTCTCTACTACTGTAGTTGTTACAAAGAAAGCAAATGCACATTTTCTTACTATGGACTTCCACCTAAAGACCTCATCCCCAAATCTTATTTACTCTGAGTTATACAAGATCACATATTCATCAGCATCAATTATAATGTCCGTTGAGTTATGAAATATGGAGTAAATAGTTACTGTAAGTGACATCAGATATGACAGACATTGGATGGATATATAAATGCATATAAAACAAGGCACTTCCTAACATAGTTGAAGACCAGTGATGGGAAACATGGCCTCATGCTGCTACAAGTGTGATAGAGAAAGGGTTTTTAGAAATGTTTGCAAATGTATATATATATATATATACAGTTGAAGTCGGAAGTTTACATACACTTAGGTTGGAGTCATTAAAACTTGTTTTTCAACCACTCCACAAATTTCTTGTTAACAAACTATAGTTTGGCAAGTCGGTTAGGACATCTACTTTGTGCATGACACAAGTACTTTTTCCAACAATTGTTTACAGAAAGATTTTTTCACTTATAATTCACTGTATCCCAATTCCAGTGGGTCAGAAGTTTACATACACTAAGTTGACTGTGCCTTTAAACAGCTTGGAAAATTCCAGAAAATGATGTCATGGCTTTAGAAGCTTCTGATAGGCTAATTGACATCATTTGAGTCGATTGGAGGTGTACCTGTGGATGTATTTCAAGGACTACCTTCAAACTCAGTGCCTCTTTGCTTGACATCATGGGAAAAGCAATCAGCCAAGTCCTCAGAAAGAAAATTGTAGACCTCCACAAGTCTGGTTCATCCTTGGGAGCAATTTCCAAACTCCTGAAGGTACCACGTTCATCTGTACAAACAATAGCACGCAAGTATAAACACCATGGGACCACGCAGCCGTCATACCGCTCAGAAAGGAGATGCGTTCTGTCTCCTAGAGATGAACGTACTTTGGTGCGAAAAGTGCAAATAAATCCCAGAACTACAGCAAAGGACCTTGTGAAGATGCTGGAGGAAACGGGTACAAAAGTATCTATATCCACAGTAAAACGAGTCCTATATCGACATAACCTGAAAGGCCGCTCAGCAAGGAAGAAGCCACTGCTCCAAAACCGCCATAAAAAAAGCCAGACTACGGTTTGCAACTGTACATGGGGACAAAGATCGTACTTTTTGGAGAAATGTCCTCTGGTCTGATGAAACAAAAATAGAACTGTTTGGCCATAATGACCATCGTTATGTTTGGAGGAAAAAGGGGGTTGCTTGCAAGCCGAAGAACACCATCCCAACCATGAAGCACGGGGGTGGCAGCATCATGCTGTGGGGGTGCTTTGCTGCCGGAGGGACTGGTTCACTTCACAAAATAGATGGCATCATGAGGAAGGAAAATGATGTGGATATATTGAAGCAACATATCAAGACATCAGTCAGGAAGTTAAAGCTTGGTCGCAAATGGGTCTTCCAAATGGACAATGACCCCAAGCATACTTCCAAAGTTGTGGCAAAAAGGCTTAAGGACAACAAAGTCTAGGTATTGGAGTGGCCATCACAAAGCCCTGACCTCAATCCTATAGAACATTTGTGGGCAGAACTGAAAAAGCGTGTGCGAGCAAGGAGGCCTACAAACCTGACTCAGTTACACCAGCTCTGTCAGGAGGAATGGGCTAATGCTACCAAATACTAATTGAGTGTATGTAAACTTCTGACCCACTGGGAATGTGATGAAAGAAATCAAAGCTGAAATAAATCATTCTCTCTACTATTATTCTGACATTTCACATTCTTAAAATAAAGTGGTGATCCTAACTGACCTAAGACAGGGAATTTTTACTATAATTAAATGTCAGTAATTGTGAAGAACTGAGTTTAAATGTATTTGGCTAAGGTGTGTGTAAACTTCCGACTTCAACTGTATATATATATATATATATATATATATATATATATATATATATAAGGAAATATTACATTTACATAAGGATTCAGACCCTTTACTCAGTACTTTGTTGAAGCACCTTTGGCAGCGATTACAGCCTCAAGTGTTCTTGGGTATAACGCTTCAAGCTTGGCACACCTGTATTTGGGAAGTTTCTCCCATTCTTCTCTGCAGATCCTCTCAAGCTCTGTCAGGTTGGATGGGGAGCGTCGCTGCACAGCTATTTTCAGGTCTCTCCAGAGATGTTCTATTGGCTCTGGCTGGGCCACTCAAGGACATTCAGAGACTGTTCATCTTTCCCACTATCCTGACTAGTCTCCCAATCCCTGCCGCTGAAAAACAGCATGATGCTGCCACCACCATGCTTCACCGTAGGGATGGTATTGGCCAGGTGATGAGCGGTGCGTGGTTTCCTCCAGATGTGATGCTTGGCATTCAGGCCAAAGAGTTCAATCTTGGTTTCATCAGACCAGAGAATATTGTTTCTCATGGTCTGAGAGTCCTTTAGGTGGCTTTTGGCAAACTCCAAGCGGGCTGTCATGTGCCTTTTACTGAGGAGTGGCTTCCGTCTGGCCACTCTACCATAAAGGCCTGATTGGTGGAGTGCTGCAGAGATGGTTGTCCTTCTGGAAGGTTCTCCCATCTCCACAGAGGAACTCTGGAGCTCTGTCAGAGTGACCATCGGGTTCTTGGTCACCTCCCTGACCAAGGCCCTTCTCCCCCGATTGCTCAGTTTGGCCGGGCGGCCAGCTCTAGGAAGAGTCTTGGTGGTTCCAAACTTCTTCCATTTATGAATGATGGAGGCCACTGTGTTCTTGGGGACCTTCAATGCTGCAGAAATGTTTTGGTACCCTTCCCAAGATCTGTGCCTCGACACAATCCTGTCTCGGAGCTCTACGGACAATTCCTTCGACCTCATGACTTGGTTTTTGCTCTGACATGCACTGTCAACTGTGGGACCTTATATAGACAGGTGTGTGCCTTTCCAAATCATGTCCAATCAATTGAACTTACCACAGGTGGACTCCAATCAAGTTGTAGAAACATCTCAAGGATGATCAATGGAAACAGGATGCACCTGAGCTCAATTTCAAGTCTATAGCAAAGGGTCTGAATACTTATGTAAATAAGGTATTTCTGTTTTTGAAAACATTTCTTAAAACCTGTTTTCACTTTGTTATTATGGGGTATTGTGTGTAGATTGATGAGGACATTTAAAAAAGACTTTTTTTTAGAATAAGGCTGTAGCGTAACAAAATGTGGAAAAAGTGAAGGGGTCTGAATACTTTTCAAATGCACTGTAGCCTCAAAACATGGTTAAAACTATAATGTTGATATAATGGATGGTCAGTCCTTGCATCCATAGCTCTGTCTATGAATTTGAGATTGGTTACATTTTTCCAGGCCCATCCCTCAGCTTTTTAGAGCTGTCTCCATGGAAACTGAAGCCTCGAGAAACACAATTTAAAGTATGACCAGGGCAGAGACACATCTCTAACTGAAGGTTTCAC